AGGTGGGGTTTCTCCATATCTATTCCTCCTCCAGATTTCCACCCAAAAGACTGTTCTGAGTTACACTCTAGACGTAGATTGTGACACTCTGGACAACATGATGTTGGGCTGTCCCAGGCTGTCCCATTGGATCAGTATTCAAGGTGATACAGTATGTTCATGTACATGGTGGCTAAGCAGCTAGACAAGTGGTTCACATTCAATATTACACTGCTGAATGGAAAAGTGTCCCAAGAAAAAATGGCAACTTTTGCAAGACATGCTTTCCAACTTTCAAAAAGACCCATAACAGTTTGATCTGCACCCTGCCGACAGATCATTCATTCGTGTCTTAATGTCAGCTAGAAACATTAGTTTTGTAACCCAGTTTATATCATGCAGTTCAGGTAGTTTTTGCCTTTTTTTGACAAAATGATCTTGATTACATGAAGGCATCCCTGCCAAATCCTTGCCATGGCTTAGCCAACAAACTCTGCTGTATGATAATAATAATTGCTTACACTTACTGTATATTGCTGTTTTCTGGACACTCCACTCAAAGCTAATTTTTGCGCTGGCAGCCATTGTGCACCAGTACACGAGCTCTCAGTGCTGAGGAGAGCAGAGTGATGTAACCAGTTCAGAGAGATTATTAGGAGGCCATCGTTGGTTAAGGCCAAAGGACGCTGGGGTAACACCCCTGCTCTTTTTAAGAAATGCCCTGAGATTTTTAATTACCACAGAGAGTCAGGACGTTGGTTTTACGTCTCATCCAAAGGATGGTGCCTGTTTTACAGTATAGTGTCACTATACTTGGGCATTAGGTCCCACACCGACATCAGACACCTCTTCCAGCAGTAGCCTTGGTTTTTCCCAGGAGTCTCCCCTCCAGGTACTGACCAGGCTCACACCTGTTGAGCTTCAGTGAGCTGCAAGCCGTGAGCTGCAGGGTAATGTGGCTGCTGGTATAGAGAAATGTCCTTGCACACACTGTCCATCTCCTGAAGAACAGATTGAAACTGAGTCAAGGGAGATTGAGCAATAAGAAAATAAACTATTTTCACCTCCGTAATCATCACATTATTAAGCTAGTAATTCAAAATCTTGGCACAATGATTTTCCTGATGTGTAATACAGTGAAAATCTACTGTGGGGTGGCCAATGTGATCC